CTTCCTTCCTATCTTCCTTCCTTCCTTCCTTCTTTCCTTCCTTCCTTCCTTCCCTTCCTCCCTCCTTCCTTCCTTCCCTCCCTCCTTCCTTCCTTCCCTCCCTCCCCTTCCTTCCTTCCTTCCTTTCTCCTTCCTTCCTTCCTTCCTTTCTCCTGAGAAGCCATTCACCAAGTCCACTGACAAAACTTCATCTGCAGGGAAACGTCTCTCTTTTTCCCTTTCTTCCTTCCCTCCCTCCCTCTCTCCCTCTTTCCTTTCCTCTTTCCTTCCTTCCTTCCTTCCTTCCTTCCTTCCTTCCTTCCTTCCTTCCTTCCTTCCTTCCTTCCTTCCTTCCTTCTTTCCTTCCTCCTTCCTCCTTCCTCCCTGCCTGCTTCCTCTTTCCTCCCTCCCTCCCTCTTCTTCTTTCTTCTCTTGCTCTTTTTCTCCTTTATTCTTCCTCCCTCCCTGGCCTTGGCCGGCTGTCACTGCCATCGGAGTGTCAGGGTGGAGGTCAGGGATGGGGGGGGTGGGGTCAGGGATGGAGGGGTGGGGTCAGGGATGGAGGGGTGGGGTCAGGGATGGAGGGGTGGGGTCAGGGATGGAGGGGTGGGGTCAGGGGTGGAGGGGTGGGGTCAGGGATGGAGGGGTGGGGTCAGGGGTGGAGGGGTGGGGTCAGGGATGGAGGGGTGGGGTCAGGGATGGAGGGGTGGGGTCAGGGATGGAGGGGTGGGGTCAGGGGTGGAGGGGTGGGGGTCAGGGATGGAGGGGTGGGGTCAGGGGTGGAGGGGTGGGGTCAGGGGTGGAGGGGTGGGGTCAGGGATGGAGGGGTGGGGGTCAGGGATGGAGGGGTGGGGTCAGGGGTGGGACGGGTGGGGTCAGGGATGGAGGGGTGGGGTCAGGGATGGAGGGGTGGGGTCAGGGATGGAGGGGTGGGGTCAGGGATGGAGGGGTGGGGTCAGGGATGGAGGGGTGGGGTCAGGGGTGGAGGGGTGGGGTCAGGGGTGGAGGGGTGGGGTCAGGGATGGAGGGGTGGGGTCAGGGGTGGAGGGGTGGGGTCAGGGATGGAGGGGTGGGGTCAGGGGTGGAGGGGTGGGGTCAGGGGTTAGAGGGGTGGGGTCAGGGGTGGGACGGGTGGGGTCAGGGATGGAGGGGTGGGGGTCAGGGATGGAGGGGTGGGGTCAGGGATGGAGGGGTGGGGTCAGGGATGGAGGGGTGGGGTCAGGGGTGGAGGGGTGGGGGTCAGGGGTGGAGGGGTGGGGTCAGGGGTGGGAGGGGTGGGGTCAGGGGTGGGAGGGGTGGGGTCAGGGATGGAGGGGTGGGGTCAGGGATGGAGGGGGTGGGGTCAGGGGTGGAGGGGTGGGGTCAGGGATGGAGGGGTGGGGTCAGGGGTGGGAGGGGGTGGGGGTCAGGGGTGGGAGGGGGTGGGGGTCAGGGCTGGGAGGGGTGGGGTCAGGGGTGGGAAGGGTGGGGTCAGGGATGGAGGGGTGGGGTCAGGGATGGAGGGGTGGGGTCAGGGATGTAGGGGGTGGGGTCAGGGATGGAGGGGTGGGGTCAGGGATGGAGGGGTGGGGTCAGGGGTGGAGGGGTGGGGTCAGGGGTGGAGGGGTGGGGTCAGGGGTGGAGGGGTGGGGTCAGGGGTGGAGGGGTGGGGTCAGGGGTGGGAGGGGTGGGGGTCAGGGGTGGGAGGGGTGGGGTCAGGGGTGGAGGGGTGGGGGTCAGGGATGGAGGGGTGGGGTCAGGGATGGAGGGGTGGGGTCAGGGGTGGGAGAGGGTGGGGGTCAGGGATGGAGGGGTGGGGTCAGGGATGGAGGGGTGGGGTCAGGGATGGAGGGGTGGGGTCAGGGATGGAGGGGTGGGGTCAGGGATGGAGGGGGTGGGGTCAGGGATGGAGGGGTGGGGTCAGGGATGGAGGGGTGGGGTCAGGGTTGGAGGGGTGGGGTCAGGGATGGAGGGGGTGGGCTCAGGGATGGAGGGGTGGGGTCAGGGATGGAGGGGTGGGGTCAGGGATGGAGGGGTGGGGTCAGGGGTGGGAGGGGTGGGGTCAGGGATGGAGGGGTGGGGTCAGGGATGGAGGGGTGGGGTCAGGGGTGGGAGGGGGTGGGGTCAGGGATGGAGGGGTGGGGTCAGGGATGGAGGAGGTGGGGTCAGGGGTGGAGGGGTGGGGGTCAGGGATGGAGGGGTGGGGGTCAGGGATGGAGGGGTGGGGTCAGGGATGGAGGTTTGGGGTCAGGGGTGGAGAGGTGGGGTCAGGGATGGAGGGGTGGGGTCAGGGATGGGAGGGGGGTGGGATCAGGGATGGAGGGGTGGGGTCAGGGATGGAGGGGTGGGGTCAGGGGTGGGAGGGGGTGGGGTCAGGGGTGAGGGGTGGGGTCAGGGATGGAGGAGTGGGGTCAGGGATGGACGGGTGGGGTCAGGGATGGAGGGGGTGGGGTCAGGGGTGGGAGGGGTGGGGTCAGGGGTGAGGGGTGGGGTCAGGGATGGAGGGGGTGGGGTTCAGGGATGGAGTTGTGGGGTCAGGGATGGAGGGGTGGAGGTCAGGGGTAGAGGTGGTGGGGTCAGGGATGGAGGGGGTGGGGTCAGGGTGAGGGGGGTGGAGGTCAGGGGTGGCGTGGGGTCAGGGGTGGGGTCAGGGGTGGGGTCAGGGGTAGGGTCTGGGGTGGGGTGGGGGTCAGGGGTGGGAGGGGTGGGGTCAGGGGTGGGGTGGGGTCAGGGGTGAGGGGGTGGAGGTCAGGGATGGGAGGTATTGGGGTCAGGGGTGGAGTCAGGGGTGGGGTCAGTGGTGGGGTCAGGGATAGGGGGTGGGGTCAGGGGTCGGGATGGGGGTCAGGGGTGGGGTGGGGTCAGGGATGGAGGGGTGGGGGTCAGGGATGGAGGGGGTGGGGTCAGGGGTCAGGATGGGGGTCAGGGGTGGGGTGGGGTCAGGGGTGGAGGCAGTCCGTGGCCCCGTCCCCTCTCCCCCGTCCCGGCCTCAGCTCCCCAGTGGAGTCGCGGTGGCTCCCCAGCCTGGCCAAGCCACGGCACCGGGGCCCTGGCCACTCTTCCAGCCGGTTCCAGAGGGTTCCAGAGGGTTCTAGCTCCAGCCTCCCGGGCTCCCTCTGGCCTGGTGGCGGGCAGGCATCCAGACCTGGCCTCCGTGAGGCGGTGGGGCCTCTGCACACCACCAGAGTGCAGCAAACGCGTGTGTGCACACGGATGCGCATGCGTGTGTGCTAGTGCATTGTGCACGTGTGTGCACGTGTGTGCTGAGTGCATTGATCACGTGTGTGTGTGCATGAGTGCATTGATCACGTGTGCACGTGTGTATGTGTATGAGTGCATTGATCACGTGTATGTGCATGAGTGCATTGTACACGTGCGTGCATGTGTGGGAGTGCATTGTGCACGTGTGTGCATACATGTATGTGCTGAGTGCATTGATCACGTGTGCATGTGTGTATGTGCATGAGTGCATTGATCACGTGTGCATGTATGCATGAGTGCATTGATCACGTGTGCATGTATGTGCATGAGTGCATTGATCACGTGTGTGTGCATGAGTGCATTGTGCACGTGTATGTGCATGAGTGCATTGATCACGTGTGCGCGTGTGTATGTGCATGAGTGCATTGATCACGTGTGTGCTTGTGTGTGTGCATGAGTGCATTGATCACGTGTGTGTGCATGCGTATGTGCATGAGTGCATTGATCACATGTGCGCGTGTATATGTGCATGAGTGCATTGATCACGTGTGCGTGTGTGCGTGTATGTGTATGAGTGCATTGATCACGTGTATGTGCATGAGTGCATTGTGCACGTGCGTGCATGCGTGGGCATGAGTGCACATGTATGTGCATGAGTGCATGGATCACGTGTGTGCGCGTGTGTGTGTGCTTGTGTGTGTGCACACGTGAGCGTGAGGGGTGTGGGTGGAGTGAAGAAATGTCAGGAAAGGAGGCTGAGGAGCCAGCGTCGGGTGGCCCAGCAGTCCTGGGCCCTGAGAGACGCCCCTGGTCCGGCCAGGAAGAGCAAGGCCAGAGGGGGCAGGGGGCAGGGGGCAGGGTGCCCGCGGGCGACCGGCCTTGGGGGGCCGTGGAGAGCACCCCAAAACTTCCACAACCCCCCCCCAGGGCCTGGGCAGGCGGCTCAGGGGTGGAGCGCTCACCTCGCACGCACGAAGCCCTGGGTTCGATTCCTCAGCACCACACACACCGAAAAAACCACAAGTGGCGCCGTGGCTCACGTGGTGGAGCGCCAGCCCTGAGCCAAAGCAGCTCAGGGACAGCGCCCAGGCCCCGAGTTCAAGTCCCGGGACTGGCAAAAACAACACAAAAGAAAAAGCCAAGGAAGGCCAACACCAACTCCCCAAACTCAAAGCACCAGACACAAACGACATCAGCCCTCAGATCCTCCCCAGCCTGCCAGGCACGCAAAACGAAGCCACAGCTCCCAGGCCGCGTGACCACACGCGCACGCACACACGCACACGCACACGCGCACACACATGCACACACGCACATGCACACAATGCGTGCACGCGCACACGCATGCACACACGCACATGCACACACATGCGTGCACGCACACACGCACACGCACACACATGCACACATGCATGCGCGCATACACGTGCACACACGTGCACACGCACGCACGTGCATGCACACACATGCACGCACACACACATGCATGTACACATGCACGCACATGTGCGTGCGTGCACACACACCCACGCACACGCACACACCTAGTGCACCAGCCAATGCTGTCTCAGTATAAGTTTTCTGGTTGGCTGGAGGCCGTGACAGGTATGGAAGCCTCAGATCTCAGCCTCCCGGGCTGGGATGGCAGGCGGGAGCTGCCCGGCCCGGCCCAGCCTCACTCTCTCTCTCTGGGGACCAGGGAGGTCCGACTTGCCGGCAGGCTGTGAGCAGGCCCGGCCCCGGCTGCCGGCGCCCCTCCAGCCTGTGGTCACCCCCCCAACCTGGGGGCGCCCCAAGTGCTACTTCCTCTTCGGGGCTGTGTCAGCTTCCTGGCAGCGGTGTCTGGGCCGGCAGGACCGGGCCAGCAGGTAAGGCCGGTGAAGGTCGGGGGTGGGGGCGGGGAGGAGGGTCATGGGCGGCGGGGGGGGGGGGGGGGGGGGGAACGTTCTCCCAGGCTTGGCCGGGAGTCCCCCGCTCACCCCCGTGTCTCTGGGGGCCCAGGAGCGGGTGGGAAAGGACTTTGGGGGTGGTGTATGTGTGTGGGGGGGGCACATCCAGCCTCTGTCGCTGACAGATAAGGAAATGGAGGCTCAGAGTGGGTCCCAGAGGCCTGGCTTGGAACTCAGGCCGCAAGGGCTGGCGCAGCAGCGGCCAGTGTGGCCACGTGTGGCAGGGGACGCTGCAGAGACAGACACAGGACGGGAGCGGCAGAGGCAGGAGGAGGCACACGCTCGCTCACACTAGCTGACAGGAAGACTGAGGGACAGAAGACACACTCGTGTGCACATGCACACACAACGCACACACACACACATGCACGCAAGCACAAATAAGTGCCCAGATGCACAAACACACGCGGGTGCAACACGCACACATGCACCCAATCCACGCACACACGCACAAGTACACACGCACACACACACAGCCCGGGATCAGCAGCGAGTGACCTTCTGGAACTTTCTCTGTGGTGGGTGGTGGGCGGGTCTTGGCCTCCCTCCAGGGGCGTCCCGGGGGGCCTCTTCCAGCCTGCGGGGGGGGGGGGGGAGGGGGGGAGGGGGGAGTTTTGTCTTCTAGAAGATTCCTCCGGAGCCTGAGCCCTCCCTCCTCCCCCCCTTCGTTTGTCTTGGCCTCCAGCCCGGGCGGCGTTTCCTGGCTGTGCACACATCCTGGTCGGCCACGTGGCCCTGGGGTGGGGTGGGGTGAGGGAGGGCGGGGTCCCCAGCTCAGGGTGGCCAGGTGCTTCTAGAAGATGCCAGAAGGTAAGAGCAGGTGGGTGGCCCTGGGTGGAGACCCCTTAGCCGGCACTGCCCCCCGGGGCCGGCCGCGTCTCTGCTCACGGAGGGGGGGGGGGGCTGACGCTAGCTCCTGGCCCTCGGGATGCTGGGTTCGAGGCCAGGCAGGGCCCCCCACCCTGTGGCGCCCTCCCTCCCTGCCCTCTGACTTTCCTGCGGGACCAGGGTTTGAACTCGGGACCCCAAGCTCGCTCCCTGTGCAGAGAGCGTCTCTGCGTTCAGTTACCTGTGTGGCAGGGCCCAGCCTCAGACTGCGGGCCTCCACGCACGGCCTCCTCCCTCAGGGCTCCAGTCGAGCCGGGGTCCCGCGGCCCGTCCCTCCCCGGCTAGCCTCCAGCCAGCGTCTTCCCGTCCCACACCTCGCGTGGCTGGCGTGGCGGGCGAGCGGGCGCCACCAGACCCGGCCCGTGCACGCTTTCCACATGGTGGACGTCTCTTCCAAAGACGCCAGTCCTGCTATTCAATTAGGAGACGCTCTCGAGCTGCTAGAATGTTCCAGGCACTGTCCTGAGTCCCGGGGGGCTGAGGTCCGAGGATCGAGGTTCAAAGCCCACCAGGGCAGCCAAGTCCACTAGGCTCTCTTCCCAAAATAACCCAGGGCCCGCGTGCTGTCTCCTGAGCTTTTCACGCTCAAGACTGGTGCTCTACCGCCTGAGCCACACCTCCACTTCCGGCTTTTTTCTTTCGCCAGTCCTGGAACTTGAACCCAGGGCCGGTGCCCTGTCCATACTCAAAGCCAGCGCTCTACCACTTGAGCTACAGCGCCACTTCCGGCTTTTTCTGCTTCTGGGGTCCTGAGGAATCGAACCCAGGGCCTCATGCATGGGAGGCGAGCGCTCTACCACCGAGCCACCTGCCCAGCCCGCACTGCGGGCTTTTCTGCTGGTTCCTGGGGGGTAAGAGTCTTCCCTGGACTTTCCTGCCCGGGCTGACGTTGACCCTCAATCCTCAGACCTCAGCCTCCTGAATCCGCTGGGATGGCAGACAGGAGCAGCAGAGCCCGGCCTCCGCCTTTGGCTTTCAGTGGCTGAAATCCTGGCCGGTTGGTTGGTGCGTGGTTGGAGGTTGTGCCAGGAGGAAGAGATAAGCCGGCCTGGCCAGGGCCCAGCCGGGGCGCCGGGGGTGGGGGGGTGGAGGGGGACAGGGGAGGGGCCGTCCCAAAGCCAGATGTGGATGCGCTGGCTCCTGCGATAGTCCAGCGTTCCTCGGCCTCCTGGCCGGCCTCAGCCAGTCCCGGGCTGCTGGACGAGGCCGGGCGCTGGGCCCAGAGGTGGCCAGGGCGGAGCTGGGAGGGGGGGCACGTGGGAACAGGCTCTCCCCGCGCAGTCCTCAGACACTCGGGCAGGGCGTACGGGACCGGCTTGCGGTGAGCTCTGGGGAGCACCGAACGGGGGTGTGCGAGGGGCGGAGAAGGCGCTGACAGACAAGGGGGGACCGGGTCTCCAGGCTTGTATGCCCCCCTCCAAGTCGATCTGCAAGCCTGCAATCCCTGTGTGTGTGTGTGCGTGTGTGTGCGTGTGTGTGTGTGCGCACACACGTGTGCACTAGTCCCAGGGCTTGGACTCACCACCTGAGCTCTGTGCCTTCATTTATTTTTCCTTTTGGTCGGCCGTGGGGCTTGAACTCTGGGCCTGGCGCTGTCCCTCAGCTCTTCAGCTCAAGGCTGGTGCTCTACCCCTTGAGCCACAACGCCACTTCCGGTTTTCTGGTGGTTTATTGGAGATCGGAGTCTCACGGACGTTCCTGCCCAGGCTGGCTTTGAACCTCGATCCTCCCATCTCAGCCTCCTGAGGAGCTGGGATGACAGGCGGGAGCCACCTCCCCCCCCCCCGCCCCCTTCCAGCTCTGCCCTGTGTTCTGTGTGCGAGATTTGTGGGGATCTCGGGGAGGCCCTCTTGTCCCCCTCCTTCAAGAGGAGTCTCTCTCAAGAGGTAACGAGAGGAGAGGAGACGGAGACAGAAGGTATCAGAAAATGTCCACAGGGCAAAAGCAGTGATGACAGCTTGTAGAATGTTCCGGAGAACTGGATCTGGAAGTTGGCAAGGTCACAGAGTGTGTGTGTGTGTGTGTGGGGGGGGGGGGGTACTTTTTCCTGGGCAGGTACAGTGAGTGATGACAGCTTGTAGAATGTTCCGGAGAACTGGACCTGGAAGTTGGCAAGGTCACAGTGTGTGTGTGTGTGTGTGTGTGTGTGTGTGTGTGTGTGTGTGTCTGGGGTTTGAACTCGGGGCCTGGGCGCTGTGTCCCTGAGCCTTGTTTTCGCACAGGGCTGGCTCTCTACCACTTGGGCCAGAGCTCCACTTCCGGCTTTTTCCTTTTTGTAATGGCTCATCGTTTCTAACACGGTAAGAGCGGAGGGGCTGCGCTGACGCAGCGGGCAGAGCGCAGTTCCCCCGTGAGGATGGTAGATGTCACTCCCGGCTTTCTGCGGGTGCTCACTGGAGATCAGAGTCTCCCGGACTTCCCTGGCCTGGGCTGGCTTTGAACCGCGATCCCGCGGATCTCAGCCTCCCGAGTTTGGCTGGGATGACAGCTGCCCACCGCCTCACCCGGCTGCCGTCCTCGTGAAGACGGTCTTGCTGCGTCTGGGGGGGCAAAGCCTGACCCCATCTTAAGTAACTACGCCCAGAGCCAAGCAGCCATGAGAACACCAGCATCCACGCCGGGCTCCATGGTGCTCCTTCACAGACTCGCACCCGGGGCAGGCACCGGCCAGGCCTCTGCAGAGGTGTCAGGGGAGGGGGGTAATGGGGCGGGGTGGGGGCAGGGGCCGGGATCCCCCGATCCCCCCCACAAAGGCTTGAAGGTCCTGAGATCCCCCAGGCCCAGCCCAGTCTGAGGTGCTGGGCCCAGAGTTGGGCTGGGTCAGGGCGATCGGAGGTCTTGGGGTGCTGGCTGGGGTGCCAGGGGGGTCCCAGCCCCCGGGGGAACGTGGGGTGGGCGACGGGGGACCCAGCCCTCGCCCCGAGTGGCTTCCAGCCCCGGTGGCTACACATGAGCACCTGGTGTGTGGGGCAGGAAGGAAGCGGGGGCCGGGCTGAGCAATTGCGCCATCATTCGCACCCACAGCTCTCGGCGATGGGGGGACAGGGCACCCCAAGAAAACGGCCCTCCCTCCCCGCCTCCCCGATCGGGGCTCGGCATTGTGCATCCTGTCATTTCCCACTGAGGACAAACCCAGCCGGCCGCGGCTGGGGGTGGACGGAGCCCCCACCCCCCAAGGGAAGGCCCCCCCCCACACGGGGCCTTTTGTGTTTGGGGGTTTTTCTTTTCCCTCCGGCTGTTACGCTTTGCTTCTCGCTCTGCAGTTACCGGGGAGAGAAGCCCGGCCGGGGTTTGCCGTTTCCTCCTCTGAGCTAACCACCCGCTGCCCGTGAGTTTGGGGGTGAGGAGGGGACCCCGGCCTCTCCGGGCCTCTCTGGGCTGCCGCGGTGCGTGCCCCGCGCAGGCCTCCCGCCGCCGCCGCCGGGGGCTGGGGGGGCGCGCTGGGCTTCGTGGCCGGGCCGTGACACACCCGTGTGGCTGAGACTCCCCGCGTCAGTCCGGGAACGGGCAGGGCTGGGGTCATGGCTGCGCGGGGGCACGCAGGTCCTTCCTGTCCCCGAGGGGCGGTGGCAGGGGAGGGAGCCGGGCACAGGGCCTCCCGGGGGGGGGGGTTCCTCAGGGCCATGGCCAGGCTGGACGCGGCCAGTAGCCTCAGATAGACCACGGCTGGAGGGCAGCGTCCCAGCCTTACAAACAGGGTGTGCGTGTGTGTGAGAGAGACAGACAGACAGACAGAGACAGAGACAGAGAGACAGAGAGAGTGTGTCCTAGGGCTTGATCTCGGCCTGGGCGCTGCCCCTGAGGTTTTGTATTCAAGGCTGGTGCTCTACCACTTGAACCACACCTCTACTTCCAGCTTTTTGCTGGTTCATCAGAGAGAAAGAATCTCACAGACTTTCCTGCCCGGGCTGGCTTTGAACCGTGATCCTCAGATCTCAGCCTCCCGAGTAGCTGGGATGACAGGCGGGAGTCATTGGTGCCATCTTTGAAAGCTCCACCCCTGTGTGTGTGTGTGTGTGCACGCGTGCGTGCGTGCAAAAGATGGAGAAGATGGTCAGACACAGATGCAGGGCACAAGGTACAGATCTCAAGCCATCTCTGCAGGCCTTGGGGTGCCCTGTGGGGTTCGGGGTGCCCTGCAGGATTCGGGGTGCCCTGCAGGATTCGGGGTGCCCTGCAGGAATCCCTTTCCCAAGGGCAAGGTTGTTCCTGCCGTGCATTGGGTGGTGTTGCCCCTTCAGGGCAGATGAACTGGCCCAGCCCACGTCCACACCGGGCCGGTCACTAGCCAAGGGCTGTTGGGTAGAGCTGGGGAAAGTTCCAGACACGTGGCGGGGTGGGGAGCGGGGAGAGCAGGGGAGGGCCTGGGGAGCAGAGGGGCTTCTGCAGGCCAGGGACGCTCTGGGCTAGAACCCCAGGAACAGAGACCACAGCCGTGGAGGGCCCTGGGCGGGCAGCACAGCGGCCATGGGGCCGGGAAAGAGACCCGCCACCCCTCAGGGCCCGGCTGCACCCCACTACTGTAAACACCTGCCCACCCACTGCCCACCAGCTCCCCAGCATGCTCCTCCCACACCAAGCCATGCTGTAACCGAGCGTAGGGGTGCCTCGGAGTCCCCCCGCCCCAGCGGCCCCTGGGCCTCTCCGGGATCCTGTCCTACAAGCGTCTGCACCTGCACCCAGCCCTAGAGAGTGGGAAGAAAGGGAGATGCGTGGACCGCGCGGCTGGCTTGCACGGCGGCGTCTTCCGTGGATCCACGTGCACGTGTATGTTACGCAACATCTCCCGGCCGCCGCCAACACCCCGCTTCCGTGGCCCGCCCCCCTTTCCTGCGTCCAGAAGCCTGGGCAGCCAGAGTCCCGATGGGATGCGGCTCTTCCCTCCCGCCTTGGATCTTCAAAGTGTTTTACAAGCGCCGGTGATGAGAGGAACGAGAGCGGACCCCTGCTGTCTCTCCACCCCTGAGACCATCGGCTGTGTGTGTGTGTGTGTGTGTGTGCGCATGTGCGTGTGCGTGCTAACCGTGTGGCGGAGTTAAAGCCAGGTGTCGGGGTGTGGCGTGGTCTGCGTGTGCGTAGGATGACGTTGGCTCTCTGACATTATTAAACAACTCCGGGCCGGGGGTGGCGGCTCCCGCCTGTCACCCCAGCAACTCAGGAGGCTGAGATCTGAGGATCGCGGTTCAAAGCCAGCCCGGCAGGAATGTCCGTGAGACTCCGATCTCTGATCTCAACCACCAGAACACCGGACGTGGTGCTGGGTGGTTGCCAAGGGGGTGTCAGCCCCAGTGGGGGGCACGTCACCCCCTTTCCTCTCTCTCTCATCCCTTGTCTCCCCGCGTCTCTCTCCCATCATCCAGACCTGGGTTCTGGAACGTCGGGGACCGCGGTAGATGGAATGGCTGTCCCCGAAGGCGGGGCGGGGTCCCCACCCCGGGGTCCCGGCCAGGGGCCGGAGGGAGAGGAGGCTCTGGACCCCGGCCAGCATGGCTGGCTGAGGAAGGCCCGGGAGTTCTTCCAGACCTGTGACACGGAGGGCAAAGGCTTCATCGCCAGACAAGACCTGCAGGTGAGCCTGAGTCCGCGTGTGTGCGTGTGCGTGCATGTGTGCATGTGTGTGAGTGTGTGCGTGTGCGTGCATGTGTGTGTGCATGTGTGCGTACGCGTGTGTGCGTGTGTGTGCATGTGCGTATGTGTGCATACCTGTGTGCATGCCTGTGTGCATGTGTGCATGTGTGTGCATGTGTGTGCACGTGTGTGCGTGTGTGCATGTGCCTGTGTGTGTGTGCGTGTGTGTGTGCATGTGTGTGTGTGTGTGTGCGTGCACGCACCAGGGGCTTGAACTCAGGGCCTGGGTGCTGTCCCTGAGCTCTTTTTCACTCAAGGCTGGCGCTCTACCCCTTGAGCCACAGCGCCACGGCCGGTTTTCTGGTGGTTCACGGGGGAGGAACAGGGGCTGGCTTTGAACCAGGATCCTCAGCTCTCAGCCTGCGGTGTAGCTGGGATGACGGGAGTGAGCACCGGCTCCTGACTTTGTATTTTCTCTTTGGCTTTCTCTGTGCCAGAAACTTCATGTCCGTTACCTCCTCCCTGCTGCGGCCGCCCCCCTCCCCGCTCCCCCCGGGCGTTTCTTTCCCACAGGCCTTTGCTCCCCTACGGCTTTGGTTCTTGGAGCTGTGCTTTGCTCCAAATGGACGGTCTCAAGAACTAGGTGCAGATGGACAGACGGATGCATGGTTAAATAGATGACAGACAGACAGATGTACGGGTAGATAGTTAGGGATAGGTAGATGGACTGATGGATGAGTGGATGCATAGATGATAGATTGGTAGAGACAGAAGCGTGGGTAGATAGACAATGAATAGATGAACAGATGTGAGGATAGATAACAGATAATCAGATTCGATGGATTAGATGGATGGCAGGTAGATTGACGGGCAGTAGAGGCATCGGTGGCCAGATGATCGATACTAATGATAGGAGCACAGATGAGTAGATAGGGAAGCGGGTAGGTGGAGAGATGGTTGGATAGACAATAGAGAAATGCATAGACAGATGACAGACAGGCTGAATTAGAGACAGGAGCTGGACAGTAGCTGACGGGCAGACGGCTGGGCGCACAGTGGACAGGTGGACGCATAGACCATAGATGATGGCGGAAAGATCGATCGTAGACGATAGATGATGGCGGAAAGATCGATCGCAGACAGTAAGTGAAGATGGATGGATAGCTAGAAGATAGATACGTAGAGGGTAGATAATGATACCGGATGGAGAGCCGGATGCATAGACAGATTATAGGTGGATAGATGACAGATGGATTATGGATAGATTGATAGATGATAGGTAAGTGATAGAAAAATGGTGCATTGATGGCTCATAGACAGATGGTAAACTATAGATAGATAGATAGACAGACAGATGATAGATAGACAGATGATAGATAGATAGACAGACAGATGATAGATAGATAGACAGATGATAGATAGATAGACAGATGATAGATAGATAGACAGACAGATGATAGACAGATGATAGATAGATAGATAGACAGACAGATGATAGATAGACAGATGATAGATAGACAGATGATAGATAGATAGACAGATGATAGATGGATGGATAGATGGATGGATGGATGGATAGATAGATAGATGACAGTAGATGATAAAATGATGAATAGTGATAAATTATAGACAGACAGACAGCTAAATAGATGAGGACAGAGATGATAAGATGATGGATAGATGGACACACAGGTAGATGATAAGTTATAGACAGACAGACAGAAGACAGGGGTGCTAGGAGGTCAGGTGCAGCTGTGTGTGCTGCGCTGTGGCCCTGGGGTGGGGTGGTGGTGGAGGACGGCGTGTTTGCTCCCCCAGCTCTCCCGGGGCTGAGCCAGGCTGCAGACAGGGTTTTGGCCGAGGGCTCTGCCCCCCCCCCCCGCCGTCAGCACCTTAATCAGCACAACGTTCTAGAAGCTTCACCAGGAGCTGCCCCTGAGCCTGGCGGAGCTGGAGGCTGTGTTCAGTGCCCTGGACGCCGACGGCGATGGCTTCCTGACTCCGGAGGAGTTCACCACTGGGTTTAGTAAGTTCTGGGGGTTCCGGGTCCCCAGGGGTCTGAGCCCACCCAGAGCACAGAAGCGCAGGGCTGTGGCTGCCGGGCCCCTCTCCTGCTCAGCTCAGCACCCCTGTGCCCACGGCCCGAGGAGGGCAGAGAGCGGGGAGGGGAGGAGGAGGGAGGAGGGGGGAGGAGGAGGAGGAGGGGGAGGGAGGAGGGAGGGGGAGGGAGGAGGGAGGGGGAGGGGGAGGAGGGGGAAGGAGGAGGGAGGAGGGGAGAGGAGGAGGGGGAGGGAGGAGGAGGGGGGAAGAGAGGAGGGGGAGGAGGGAGGAGGGAGGAGGAGGGGGAGGAGGGGGAAGGAGGAGGGAGGAGGGGGGAGGAAGAGGGAAGAGGAAGAGGAGGGGGAGGAGGGGGAGGGAGGAGGAGGAGGAGGGGGAGGAGGGGGAAGGAGGAGGGAGGAGGGGGGAGGAAGAGGGAAGAGGAAGAGGAGGGGGAGGAGGGGGAGGGAGGAGGGGGAGGAGGAGGGAGGAGGGGGAGGAGGGAGGGGGGAGGAGGGAGGAGGGAGAAGGTAAGGGGAGGAGGGGGGAGGAGGGAGGAGGCCGGAGGCGGGGTGTGTTGGGGAGGTGGTGAGACTCCAGCCTCTCTTCTGTCTTGCCAAACTAAAACTGTGGCCCCCGAACACCTCACACACACGAATCTTGCTGCCGTCCGATTGTGGGGTAGCAGCTGTCAGGGAGGTTTCTAGAAGGCTGAAGGTCAGGAGGGCGGGCCGTGGTCTGATTGCATGTCCTTGGATGGGCCGGGCTTGGCGGCTGCCTCCTGCCCGGGGCTGCGCCGTGTTCTTAGCCGTGTCGCGGCCTCCACTGACCTCAGGACGCTGAGATCTGAGGATCGCGGTTCAAAGGCAGCCCGGGCGGGAAAGCCCGTGAGACTCTCATCGCCAACGAACCAGCAAAAGCCAGAAGTGGAGGTGTGGCTCAAGCAGTAGAGCGCCAGCCTTGAGTGGCAGGGCTCGTGGCTAACGCCCAGGCCCTGAGTTCACACCCTTGTACTGGAAAAGAACAACTCCCCCCCCCATAAACTCTGGGGTGCAGCATCCGCAGATCTTTGCCAAAGGGGGTCCCCCTCTTCCTTCCCAAACGACTCCTGGCCATGGAGAGAGCCGGCCGGTCCTGCACAAAGTCTGACGTGGCTCCTTTGTGCTTCCCGCCCTCAGGCCATTTCTTCAGCCAGAACTCACCGGAAGGGGCAGGCCGGGCCCTGCTGAGCGAGGAGAAGGTGTACCAGTCCCCGGGGGACGGGGGAGACGCGGGCCAGGACGAGGAAGCCCAGTTCCACATGCTGATGGACAAACTCAGAGCCCAGAACGTTCTAGAAGAGTAAGTAGCAACAGCTGCCTCAGGAACTCAGCCTAGGGAGGAGCCTGCTCACCTGCCGCATTGATGATTGATTCCTGGTCTGGCGTGGCCGCTCACCTCTGTAGTCCCAGCTTATCAGGAGACTGAGATCTGGAGGATCTAGGGTTGAAGTCAGCCTGAGCACAGTAGATGGATGGATGGATGGTTTGTATGGATGGATGGAGAGATGGATGTATGCATGGATGGGTGGATGGATGAATGATGGATGGGTGGATGATGGATAGATGAATGGATGGATGGGTGGATGGATAGATGGGTGGTTGGGTGGATGGATGGATAGATGGGTGGATGGGTGGTTGGGTGGTTGGGTGAATAGATGGATAGATGGGTAGATGGATGGATGGGTGACTGGCTGGCTGGCTGGCTGGCTGGCTGGCTGGCTGGATGGATGGATGGATGGATGGATGGATGGGTGGGTGGTTGGGTGGTTGGATGGATAGATGGGTGGATGGATGGATGGGTAGGTAGGTGATGGATGAATGATGGATGGGTGGATGGATGATGATCGGGTGGGTGGGTGGTTGATAAGTGGGTAGTTTCAGTAACTAGATGGATTTTCAAATGGAATGGCTGCAAGGAGGACATGATGGAGGAGGGAGGGCAGGAGGGAGGGCAGGAGGAGGGAGGGAGGGAGGGCAGGAGGGAGGGCAGGAGGAGGGAGGGGGAATGACCTTTGCTCACCAGAGTTGGGTTCATTTCTCGCTGGGCTGCTTTCCATGTGAGGTTTGTTTCCATCATGGGAGAGTGTGTGTGTGTCCATGTCCGTGTGTGTGTGTGTGCACACGCACACGTGCGTGTGTGTGTGCATGCGTGTGTGTGTGTCCGTGCCAGCCCCTCCCTCCCGCCCAGACCCACGAGGGGACAGTCCACCCCGGGTCACATGGGCCTTCAGTGGATGGCTGGGACAGGGCAGTGCCCCCCCCAAACCCAGTCCCCCCCCAGCTTCCCCCCGCCCCCACCACATCCCCCCCAACCCTCCCCACAGCGAAGGTGGCGTCAGACAGCTCTGGCTGCGGCTGAGGAAGGAGCCACACTTGCGGTCGGGCTTGGAAGACTTCCTGTCCAGAATCCTCTCGCAGCTCCAAGAGGCCCAGGAGGAGAAGAGCGAGCTGGAGTGCGCACTGCAAAGGTGAACGCCTGCCGGGGGCAAGGAGCGCAGAAATACGCCAGAGGCCACGCCAGGACAGGAGCCCTGGCTCGCATTCATTGAGCACTTACTAGGTACCAGGTGCTGTGCTAAGTACTCTTTGCATATGAGCCTTGGCTTGCATTTATTGAGTGCTTACTTGGTACCAGGTGCTGTGCTAAGTACTCTGCATATGAGCCCTGGCTTGTGTTTATTGAGCACTTACTGTATACCAGGTGCTGTGCTAAGTACTCTTTGCACATGTGCCCCTGCTCACATTTATTGAGCATACGCAAGGCTATTTCGAGTTCTTTGTATGCACGGCCAGGTGCTATTCCAAGCACCTTACCTACAGAAGCCATTGTTCATGGTCACTGAGCACTTACTGTCTACCGGGTGCTAGTCTCAGTACTTCACGTACGGGATGGTAGAGCTGAGAAAGCAGAGGTACAGAAAGCCACGTGTCCCGGGCCACACAGCTGTGAAGGGGGTCACTGGGAGATGACCGGGCGCCGGCCTCCCGGTGGCCAGCGTTTGGTCACGCTCCACGCCGGCTCACGGTGGAAAGCCAGGACTAAGTTCCAGCCCTACACTGCCCAGCCCTGGGTGAGTGACAGCCCACGACTCTGGGTCTCCCACTTCCCAGTGGCCCTGGCATCTGGGGCCTGAGCCACGCGGTAGAGCACCAGCCTGAGTGAAAGAGTTTAACAAGGGAATGAGCTCAAAGTCCAGTATCAGTGTACGCATGCGTGTGCGTGAGTACACACACACACACACACACTCACACACACACACACACACAGACTTTGAAGCCAGCCTGAGCAGAAGAGTTGATGAGACTCTTCTCTCCATCTGAGCCTCTGGGGCCCGGGGCCCCGTGGCCTGCGCGGCACCCCAGCCCCGCAGCTTGGAGGGGGTGGTGGTGAAGGGATTGGAGGTCTGAGCTTTTGGGTGGCTGCTGGGGGTCAGGTGTCCCCGTGAGCACCTTCACCCCCCCACTGTAGGAAGATTGCCGCTTACGACAATGAGATCCAGCACCTGTATGAGGAGATGGAGGAGCAGATACAGAAGGAGCGAGAGCAGTTCCTGCTGAAGGTCAGTACGTCCATCCCCCTCGCTCCCCTCCCCTGCGCAGCCCCGAACCCCCTTTCCCCCAGCTTTGTTATTTTTCAAGATGTTTGTCGCCTTCAGCCAGGGTCTAAGATGCACTTGATGGTTTTTATTGGCCACCATCTGTCTCTCCCTGGGAGCACGGAATGCTAGTGTGTGCTCAGCTCCTACCCCAGGGGTGGACATTCACTAAACCAAGAGATGCACAAAGAGACGGCCGATTGGCCATCTGTCCATCTGGATGGAGGGATTAAGGAACGGATGGGGACATGGAAGGATGGTTGGATGGATAAATGCCTGGATGAATGGGTGGGTGGGTGGGTAGAAAAATGGGTGGATGGATGGATGGATGATTGCAGGCATAAATGGATGGATGCATGCATACATGGATGGATGGGTGGGTGATGAATAAATGGATAGATGGATGGGTGGATGGATGGATAAATGGATGGATGGATAGATGATGTATAGATGGATGGGTGAATGGATGGATGGATGGGTGGGTGGATGGGTAGATGGATAAATGTCTGGATAGATGGATGGTGAATAGATGGTTGGATACATGGATAAATTCATGTATGTATGTACGAATGCATGCATGGGTGGGTAGGTGGATGGATTAATGAATAAATGGATGGATGAATGAGTGAGCGGAAGAGTGGATGGATAAATGGATGGTTGGTGGATAGATGAATGAATGACTGGATAGAGAGATGAATGGATGGGTGAATAAATGGGTGGGTGGAAGAGTGAATGGATAAATTGATGGATGATGGACAGATAAATGGATGGTTGGTGAGTGGATAGATGGATGAATGGATAAATGGACAGATAGAGAGATGAATGGAAGATGGATGGTTGAAGGGTGGATGGGTGGGTGGCAGGTGGATGGATGGATGAACGGGTGGATGGATGAATGGGCAGATGGATGATGGATGGGTGGATAGATAGACGGATAGATGGATGGATGGATAATGGATGGATGGGTGGGTGGATGGATGGATGGGTAGGTGAATGGGTGGGTGGGTAGATGAGTGGGTGGGTGGATGGGTAGGTGGATGGTGGATGGATGGTGGATGGGTGGGTGAGTGAATGGGTGGGTGGATGGGTGGATGGTGTGTGGATGGATGGGTGGGTGGATGGATGGATGGGTGGGTGGATGGATGGGGGGGTGGATGGATGGGGGGGTGGATGGATGGGTGGGTGGGTGGATGGTGTGTGGATGGATGGGTGGGTGGATGGTGGATGGGTGGGTGGATGGGTGGGTGGGTGGGTGGATGGATGGGTGGGTGGATGGTGGATGGGTGGGTGGATGGGTGGGTGGGTGGGTGGATGGATGGGTGGGTGGATGGTGGATGGGGTGTGGATGTGTAGATGGGTCTGTGGATGGATGGGTGGATGGATGGGTGGATGGATGGATGGATGGATGGATGGATGGTGGATGGGTGGATGGGTGGATGGATGGATAGATAGGTGGATGGATGGGTGAGTGGGTGGATGGATGGATGGGTGGATGCATGGATGGGTGGGTGGATGGGTGGGTGGGTGGATGGATGGATGGATGGGTGGGTGGGTGGATGGGTGGGTGGGTGGGTGGATGGATGGTGTGTGGATGGGTGGATGGATGGGTGGATGGATGGGTGGGTGTGTGGATGGGTGGGTGGGTGGGTGAACACCGGTGCACACTCTCTTAGCTAAAGCAGGCTGGAGATGGAGTGGGACATTCCTTGACCCTAATGCCCAACACACCAGCAAATCGCTTCCTGCCCAGCACAGCACAGCACAGCACAGCACCCCAGCACAGCACCCCAGCACATCGCTTCCTGCCCAGCGCCCACCCCAGGGGTGGGTGATCAGTTCCTGGGCCATGGTGCCATCCCTCCCTCCCCCCTCCCTCCCCCCTCCTTCCCTCCCTCTCCCTTCCCCCTCCCTCCCTCCTCCCCTCCCCCCCTCCCCCCCTCCTTCCCTCCCTCCTTTCCCCTGAGCAAACAGAACCAAGCGAGCAAAGGCCACAGTCTCCAGAGCCAGGGGAGAAAACGTGGCCACGCTCCGACCCTCGGTCCCCACCCGGCCTGTCCACAGGCCACGGGCAAGCCTTGCTGTTGGTTTATCCCAGAAGGCTTTCTAGAATAATCCAGCCACGGTCTCCAACCCGGCTGGGTGGTGCTTCCGGGTCGCCGGTGATGTCCCCAGCCCGCGCATGCCCGCCGCAGCCCCGAGCTGGTTTCTAACCTGCTTCCCCCACCCCCTTCCTCCCTCAGCGGGGCGGCCGAGCCCCGTGCGGGGCCTGTGTCTCCTCTGTCTGGGCTGGAAGTTGGCGGAGATCAGAGAGGGAATACAAGTTCGGGCTAAGTGAGGGTCACTGACGGCCTGGCGCCCCTCGGCCCTCTTCCTCCCAGTGACCTGAAAGTGTTTCGATTTGTGCCAACACACAACCGGCACTCTACCGCCTGGCCCATGCCTCCAGTCCGCCATTTGGCTGGTTCCTTGGAGAGAAGAGTCTCTCAGACTTTGCTGCCCAGGCTGGCTTCGAACCACCAGCCTCAGAGCTAGGCACCGGTGGCTCACGCCCGTCACCCCAGCAACTCAGGAGGCTGAGACCTGAGGATCACGGTTCAAAGCCAGCCTGGGCAGGAAAGTCCCTGTGAGACTCTGATCTCCCATAAACCACCAGAAAACCGGAAGTGGTGCTGTGGCTCAAGGGGTAGAGCGCCCGCCTTGAGCTGAAGAGCTGAGGGACAGCGCCCAGGCCCCGAGTTCAAGCCCCAGGACTGACCACAAGGAGGCGGTGAGCACAGGCGTGCTAGCTCACAAGTCTGTGCACCTGCGTGACGCCTTTAGTCCCAGATCTTTAGTCTTCTTCCTGGCTTTTGTAGGACAGGGAGAGGTTCGAGGCTCAGAGTCGGGAGCTGGAAAGGCAGCTGCAGATCAAGGAGCAGGAGCTGGAGAGACTCCACCAGAAACAGAGCCAGGTAGGTGCCGCTGCGTCCTCCCCCCGCCCTTGCCTCTGCCTGAGGATCGGGGAAGAGGAAGCGTGTAAAAGTCCTCGGTGGGCTGGGTGCTGTGCATGCCCGCCCCGCATCCCAGCGACTCAGGAGGCCGAGATCCGAGGATCGAGGTTCAAAGCCAGCCCAGGCGGGGAACGTCCGTGAGACTCTGATTTCCAAGAACTGGCAAAAAGCCGGAAGTGAGACTGTGGTTCAAACGGGAGAGAGCCAGCCTCGAGCAAAATGAAAGACAGAAAAAAGCGAAAATGCAGCGCCCAGGACCCTGGAGTGAAAGCCTCGGGCAGTTCCAGACCAAGAGAACAGCATTGCAAACAAGGATAAAGAGAAGCCAAGGATACACAGAATTAAAGAACAAATCAGAGGCCGGTTGCTCTTCTAATGTCCCCTGCGGTCTGTCCACGTGGCTGTACGAGGATTCCCAGATTCCTTCTGGAAGGTTCCAGGGAGCCCGCGATGCAGGCCTGGAGTGGGCGGACTTTGTGGCTCTGTGTCTGGATCCTACTGAATAGATTTTTGTTTTAGTCAGTCGTGGGGCTTGAACTCTGGGCCTGGGCGCTGTGGCTCAGCTCTTCAGCTCAAGGCTGGCACTCTACCACTTGAGCCACAGCGCCACTTCCAGTTTTCTGGTGGTTCATGGGAGATCAGAGTCTCAGGGACTTTCCTGCCCGGGCTGGCTTTGAACAGATCCTCCAGATCTCAGCCTCCTGAGTCGCTGGGATGACAGGCGGGAGCCACCGGTGCCTGGGCTCTCCCAAGCATTTAGACTTGAGGCTGGTGCTCAGTCCCTCTCTCTCCCTCTCTCTCTCCACCCCTTTCTCCCTCTCCTTCCCCCTTTGCTGGTGCTTAAGTCCTCATGCTTGTCTGCCTGGTGTTCGACCACTTGAGTCACGCCTCCAGCCGGGCTTTTTGCTGACTGATCGGACATGTCTGCCCCGGCTCATTTTTTTTTTTTCTTTGAGCCCTCGGTGCTCTGGATCTTGAGCTCCTGGTTCGCTATGATGACAGGCGGGAGCCACCGGCCCCTAGCGACAAAGCGGTTGGGATGACCAGATGTGGATGTCCTTTAGCTCAGAGACACAGAGGAGCCATTCACTGTCCCCAGCTCCAACCCGCACAAGGAGGAGGGAGGGGAGGAGATGGAAATGGCAGAGGGCAGAGGGCAGAGGGCAGAGGCCTGGCCCTCCACGCGAGACCTCTGTGCGTGTGCATGTGTGTGTGTGTGTGTGTGTGTGTGCGTGTGCACGTGTGTGGGGGGCAGAGAAGCTGGTGGAGGGCATTTGGTGGGTGACCCATGCCAGCCCCCCCACTTCGGAGCAGGGCCCCCAGCCCGGTGGCAGTGACGCCCTCCCTCCCTCGCCCTCCCTCCCGCCCCTCCTCTGTCCCCAGCTGAAAGGCCGGTGCGCGGCCCTGCAAAGCGAAGGCCACCAACGCAGCTCTGAGAATGCCCGGTTGAAGCTGAGCAACCAGGAGCTGGCGGCCGAGCTGGACAGGACCGGCCATGAGCTGCGAGAGGCCCAAGCGCAGCTGGAGAGTCTGCAGCACGAGGCCCGCCGGCTGCACCGGGAGAAGGAGATGTATGTCCTCCACTCGCTGGCCTCCACTATCCGGCCTCCGCCCTCCGGCCTCCACTCGCCGGCCTCCACCATTGCTAAGGGCCCGGGCCTGGGGCCGGGCGGGGGACACTGTGGGTGCTGCCTGGGGGTGGGGACAGTGAGAACAGCGTTCAGATCAGGACAGACGTGTTCATCAGCAAGAATCCTCAGTGAGCGGGATTGATTTTCTTGTTCTCCGCTTGAAGCAGGAGAACTGGATCTTCTCTGCTTTAAGTAGGAGCACTGGATCCGAAAATGAGATTCATCTAGCCATTGGTGCTCACGCCTGTCATCCCAACTACTCAGGAGGCTGAGATCTGAGGATCCCAGTTCAAAGCCAGCCCGGGCAGGAAAGTCTGGGAGACTCTTATCTCCAACTAACCCCCCCAAAACTGGAGGTGGAGTGGTGGCTCAAGTGGTAGAGCACCAGCCTTGAGCCAAAAAGCTTAGGGACAGCGCCCAGGCCCTGAGTTCAAGCCCCAGTACTGGTACACACACACAGGGAAAAAAAGAAGTGCTTTTCTACTTGTTAAAGCAGCCCACAGCTTAATATATCTAACACCAATGAATATATATAGTTATAGATATGCTTATATATATATTTTTTTCCTGCACAGAGGTGTGTTGTAGATGGTCACATTTGCATATATTTACATTTGCACACATGCATTTGCATACACACATGCACACTTGTATGCACACCCACATGCACGTCCACACATGCAAATGTATTTGTATATGCACATGTATATTCACCTGTGCGTATCTGCCTGCATTTGCATGTGCACATGCGTTGCCTATGTGAAGATGTGTGCATTTGCATATGCATACATCTGATTTGTGTCTGCATATGCTTAGCCTGGGCTTGGGGCTTTCATGGAACCCAGACGGTGGCTCAGCACCAGGGCTGAGCTGGCCGGCCGGGCCCCCGGGGATGGGGACGGATGCAGGGCTGAGCAGCAGGAAGGAAGGAGAGCAGAGGCCCGGGCAGGGGCGGGGCTTGGGCTCCACTCTGCTTGGGGGGGCCTGGGGCACTGTCCACTTGTGTGTGGGGGGGCAGGGATGGGAATCTGCTTTGTTCACATCGTAACACAGTGCCATTTTGGGGGCCCTTCCCGAAAACCCCAAACTCCACCCGGGAGCCCCTTGCCCCTCCAGCTCTGTCCAGGGCCACTTGGCACCCCTCTGCAGCCATAATGACACCCTGACACCCAGCTCGAATCCGCAGGGGCCTCTTCTGTCCGTCTGTCCCTTGGAACTTCCCTCCTGGCCCGGATGGCACCAGTGGTGGTGATACTGGATTCTGCTGGATTTTCATTGTTCCTTGTTCCTGCCTTTTCTTTCTTTCTCCTCACCCCAAGGACGCAGTAGACACCCCAGCTCCTTTCTGTGCCCCCCCTCCCTCTCTGTTCCTTCTTTTATATCTTTTCTTCTTTCCTTCCTTCCTTGCTTCCCTCCCTCCCTCCCTTCCTCCCTCTCTCTCTTTCCTTCTTTCCTTTCTTTCTTTCTCTCTTTCTTTCTTTCTTCTTGTCAGTCGTGGGGTTTGAATTCAGGGCCTGGGCGCTGTCCCTCAGCTCTTCAGCTCTCTTCAGCTCAAGGCGAGCACTCTACCACTTGAACTACAGCGCCACTTCCGGTTTTTCTGGTAGTTTATTGGAGATAGGAGTCTCACGGTCTCTCCTGCCCAGGCTGGCTTTGAACTGTGATCCTCGGATCTCAGCCTCCTGAGGAGCTGGGAAGACAGGTGTGAGCCACCAGTGCCTGGCTCTTTCTATCTTTCTCCTTCCTTCCTTCCTTCCTTCCTTCCTTCCTTCCTTCCTTCCTTCCTTCCTTCCTTCCTTCCTCTCTCTCTTCCTTTCTTTCCTTCTCTTCTTCCTCCTCCTTTTCTTCCTTCCAAATAGAGCGGTGATCAGTGGCCCCAAGCCCTGCCCACTAGGAGCTGTCCACAGGGTCCTCCCTCCTGTCCTCCTCTGTCCCTGGGCCCAGGTGGCTTCTTTTCTGCCCTCATGGTGTGTCCACTCCCCGCAGGGAAGTGTATCGCGTGTCAGAGAGCCTGCAGCGTGAGAAGTTGGGGCTCCTGAAGCAGCTGGATTTCCTGAGGTGAGTGGCTCGTGGGGTGAGCTGCCCTGCCCAGCCTTTGCCTCTGCCCTCTGCCCTCTGCCCTGCCCCACCCGTCTGTCCCATGGTCTGATGGCCCCCGGGGTCTCCACCTGCAGACCCTGCCTGACCAACCTCCCTCTTCTGTGCGTAGGGAAAGGAACAAACACCTGCGGGATGAGCGTGATGAGCGTGACGCGCGTGTGCAGGTAACGCGCGTGTGCAGGTGACACGCGTGTGGGGAGGGAGGGCACCGCCCCGGGTGGGCAGGGCAGGGCCCAGCATTGCCCCAGGGCACAAGACAAGGACGCCGGAGCCTTCCGGACGGCTGTGGAAGAAACGACCACACCACCCACCAGGGGGCGCCCAAGATGTGCTTGTGCCCTGCGAACCAGCGCTGGAGTGTGTGCGCTCACTCTGTGTGTGTGTGTGTGTGTCAGAACTGAAGCTTCAACTCTCAACTCAGGGCCTGGGCACGGTCCTTTAGCTTGCTCTGCTCAAGCCTGGCGCTCTACCACTTGAGCCACAGCTCCACTTCCAGCTTCTGGGTGGTTCCTTGGAAAGTGAGACTCTCACGGAGTTTCCCTACCCAGGCTGGCTTTGAACCACGATCCTCAGGTCTTAGCCTCCTGGTGAGCCTCCAGCAGCCCGGCTCACCAAGGTTTTCTAGGTTCTTTCAAGGTTCATTTTCACAGAAGGGCTGAGAGGTCTCGTCCGGGGGGGGGGGGGGGGTGGGGACGGTGGACGGGACACTGGGTTCATAAGTCCAGGTTCCTCGGGTCACCCCTGGCACCCTGTGCCAATAAGGAGGGATTAGAACCATCCAGAAGCGTGTGACTTAAATGCAAGCTTCTGTAGTTCCTCAGGATGCTGAGATCTGAGGATCGCAGTTCAAAGCCAGCCCGGTCAGGACAATCCCTGAGACTTATCTCCAGTGCACCACCAGAAAACCGGAAGTGGTGCTGTGGCTCAAGTGGTGGAGCACCAGCCCTGAGTTCAAACCCCACGACCAATCAACCGAAAAAAACAGATGGAGGGTGCAGCCTTTTTGGCCCAGTGGTCCGGCGCCCACCTCGGACACTCTTGTTTCTGCAGAGGGACAAGGCGTCCAGGGCAAAGGCGGCGGCCTCTAAGGCCAGCTGGAAGCAGAGGTCCGGCTCGGTGATCGGCAAATACCTGGACGGGCGAGGGCTGCTCCGCAGGTAGGCCGCCACCCTGCCTTCTTGGCTGGTTCTTCTCCACACAGGCGGAGCGTCAGCTGGGGGCTGAGTGCAGACTTAGGGTGGGGGGGTTGGGGGGTTACCAGGGAGATCCAAGGTCAGCTGTAACCTCTGACCTTCAATCTTGGGGGACATGACCTTGGGGGAGGATAGGACAAGTCACCTCTGTGTGTGTGTGTGTGTGTGTGTGTGTGTGTGTGTGTGTGGAGCAGGGGAAAGAAAGACCAGAGGAAAGGATGGGGAGAGGAGCTGGGGAGGGAGGGGGAGGGGGTGGGGGGTGGGGGGAGGGGGTGGGGGAGGGAGGAGGGGTGGGGGAGGGGTGCAGTTGGACCACGTTTTGTTTTGTGCCAGGCCCAGGGCTTGAACTCTGGGCCTGTGCGCTGTCTCTCAGCTCTTCAGCTCAAGGCTGGTGCTCTACCACTTGAACCACAGCACCACTTCCAGCTTTTGACAGGTTCATTGGAGATCTTGTGGCCTTTTCTGCCCAGGTTGGCTTTGAACCTCCATCCTTGGATCTCAGCCTCCTGAGTAGCTGGGATGACAGGCGGGAGCCACCGTGGCTGGCTAGCTCTTTGATTATATTATTATTATTATTATTATTGTCAGTCCTGGGCTTGAACTCAGGGCCTGGGCGCTGTCCCTGAGCTGCTTTTGCTCCAGGATGGTGCTCTACCACTTGAGCCACAGCTCCACTTCTGGCTCTTTGTGTGTGTGGGAGGTGAGGAGTGCTTCATTGGAGATCAGAGCCTCACAGACTTTCCTGCCCAGGCTGGCCTCAAACCACAATCCTCCGATCTCAGCCTCCTGAGTAGCTGGGAGCAGCCCTCACTCAACTCCTTCAGGGACAGGAAGGGGCGGGACCCATTGCTGCCCGGCTCCCTGTGGCGTCCACCCAGAGAGGGCGTGATTGGCTTCTGCGGGAAGGACTTGGCTTACTGCTCACTCAGAGACAAGCCTGCTCCCCTGGGCCCCCCTCTCTTTCTGTGGGGGATGGAGACACTGGCCCGACCGACATGGGGAGGTGGGGCAGTAGAGCCCCAAGCTTGGGGACTTGGGGTGGGGGAGTTCGAAGTCCTGAGTCAGGCCGAGAATGAGCCACAAGGGAGGGAAACCAGCTCTCCGGCTCTGTCTGTCTGGTCTGTCTCCCTGTCTGTCTCTGTCTCTCAGCAGAGATCAGGGATCACGGGCATGAATACTGGGGAGACCCCATCTCGATGGATGTCTTGGCCTGGTAGTGTACACCTGCCACCCTGGCTACAGGGGAAGCGCACTGGCTGAGAGCGACAGCAGGGAATCACAAAATGGGAGGATCACAGTCCGGGCTAACCCCCCCCCCCCCACCTCCCAAAAACAGGCAGACCCTCTGCGAAGACAAGCCACACCCAGAGCAGCCAGGGCGTGGCTGCGGTAGAAGAGGGTCCACCGGGCAAGCCCGGGCCCTGGGTGCAAATCCCGCTCCCCAACACAGGTGTCAAATCCAGCCTCCGACTTAGCTCTTCATTCCAGTTTCCCGTTCTTCTGCAGACGCTGCTTCCTCCTCCTCCTCCTCCTCCTCCTCCTGCTCCTTCCTCCTCCTCTTCCTCCTTCTCCTCCTCTCCCTCCTCCTCCTTCCTCTCCTCCTTTTCCTCCTTGCCCTCCTCCTCTTCTCCCTCCTCCCCCTCCCCCTCTCCCTCCTCTCCTTGTCTCTCCCGTTCCCCCCACCAGGCCCGGCCGGGGGCTGGGGTGGGTGCCCCATCCTCTGTCCAGCACCAGTGCCGTCGGGCAGGCCTTCCACCCTGGCACTGAGCTCCGTTCTTGTTTTGCCCTCGTCGCCCACAGCCGGTCGGAGGAGGAGGAGGAGGAGAAGGAGGAGGAAGAGGAGGAGGAGGAGGTGTTCGGCCTGCCCCCTGGGAGGCGAAGCTCTCTGGGCCCGCGTGGGGGCCCAGCTGTGGAAGAAGAGCCGGGGCTGGGGGAGCGGGGGGCCGGGGGGCCCCGCAGGCCCCTGGGCAGGATCATCTCCATTGAGGAGGACCCCCTGCCCCAGCTCCTGGGAGGCGGCTGTGCACGGCCGCTGAGGGAATGTGCCCAGGCAGAGGAGGAGGCTGAGGCTCCGGGCCTCCGGGAGGCTCCCTGCGTGGGCCTGGGACCCGTGGCCGCACCCCGGGCCCAGCCTGTGGGAAAAGAAGCCCTCAGCAAGGTGAGCACCAGGCCGGGGCTCGGTTCCCGGAGCCTCCCTGCCTCCCAGTGTACCCCCCCCCCCACGGCCTCAGGAGGCCGGCCTCCACCATCAAGGCCTCCCCAGGGCCTGGCAAGCATCGCCCTGATTCCTCAGCCCCCTGGGTGGAAATCAACAGCACAGGGACGCGCCTTCTACCACATGGGACTTGGCCTGTTCCCCTACGTCTCACCTCTTTGGCTCTTGGCTTGATGATGATGCTGGGTTTGAACCCGCGGCTCGGGGCTTGCTCACAAGCCTCCGTCAGGCCTTGGTTCTTGGTTTGATGATGCTGGGTTTGAACCCGCGGCTCGGGGCTTGCTCGCAGGCCTCCGTCAGGCCTTGGTTCTTGCCGGGTTTGAACCCGCGGCTCGGGGCTTGCTCGCAGGCCTCCGTCAGGCCTTGGTTCTTGGTTTGATGATGCTGGGTTTGAACCTGCGGCTCGGGGCTTGCTCGCAGGCCTCCGTCAGGCCTTGGTTCTTGCCGGGTTTGAACCCGCGGCTCGGGGCTTGCTCGCAGGCCTCCGTCAGGCCTTGGTTCTTGGTTTGATGATGCTGGGTTTGAACCCGCGGCTCGGGGCTTGCTCGCAGGCCTCCGTCAGGCCTTGGTTCTTGGTTTGATGATGCGGGTTTGAACCCGCGGCTCGGGGCTTGCTCGCAGGGCGCTGCGCCGCCCGGGCCAGGCCTCCCGCCCTCGCTGGCTCTGCCTGCCCGAGGGCTGGGTGCTGCGGTTGCTGCGTGTCCGGCCCCCCCCTCCCCTTCCGGGACCCGGGCCCTGTCTGTGGCCGGCGGCGGGGCTCGAAACCCGGGGCTGGGCGCTCTGCGGCGCGAGCGTGCACCGCGCATGCCCGCCCCGCCCCTCCGTGACCCGCCGTGTCGTGTGTCCGCGCAGGAGGAGCGCCCGCGCGCGGCCCCGGACCGGCTCTTCAAGGTGGTGCTGGTGGGCGACTCGGCCGTGGGCAAAACCTCGCTGCTGCAGCGGCTGTGCGAGCGGCGCTGCGCGCCCGGCGCGGCGGCCACCGTGGGTGAGGGGGGCGGGGCGGGGCCTGGAGAGGGGCGGGGCCTGGGGAGGGAGGCGGGGCCGGGGCCAGGAGAGGGGGCGGGGCCTGGGAGGGAGGCGGGGCCTGGGGCGGGGCCTGGGGAGGGAGGCGAGGCCGGGGCCAGGGAAGGAGGCGGGGCCGGGGCGTGGCGGGAGAGGTGGCGGGGGCTGGGCAGGGAGGCGGGGCTGGGGGCAGGGGAGGGGCGAGGCCAGGGGCGGGGCCTGGGGAGGGGCGGGGCCTGGGGAGGGGCCTGGGGAGAGAGGCGGGGCCAAGGGCGGGGTGGAAGGCGGGGGCCTGGGGAGGGAGGCGGGGCCTGGGGCGGGGCCTGGGGAGGGAGGCGGGGCCGGGGGCCAGGGAAGGAGGCGGGGCCGGGGCGTGGCGGGAGAGGTGGCGGGGGCTGGGCAGGGAGGCGGGGCTGGGGGCAGGGGAGGGGCGAGGCCAGGGGCGGGGCCTGGGGAGGGGCGGGGCCAGGGGCAGGGCCTGGGGAGGGAGGCGGGGCCAGGGGCGGGGTGGAAGGTGGGGCCCTGGGGAGGGAGGCGGGGCCGGGGCTGGGGGCGGGGCCGGGGCTGGGGGCGGGGCCGGGGCTGGGAGGGCGGGGCGTGGACTGGGAGGCGGGGCCAGGGGCGGGGTGGAAGCGGGGCCTGGGGAGGGAGGCGGGGCCGGGGCTGGGGGCGGGGGCTTGGGCTGGGGGCGGGGCCGGGGCTGGGGGCGGGGCCAGGCCGCAGGCCGGGCCCCCTGCAGGGCTCCCACCCAGCTCAGGACAGCGCGTTTATGGCCGTGTTTATGGCCGGTGTCTCAGCACCGCGATCCTCCTGTTTGCACCCGGGCATGGCGGGCAGAGAATTCCAGCGATCCGGGCGGATCTGACCCCCCTCTGTCCCCCCGACAATCCCCCCAAGTCTTCAAGCCTTCCGGGAGTGGAGCCTCTCCCCAGAGCCCCGCCCGAGCCCCGCCCCGCCCTCCTCCGCTTCCCTTTCCTCCTCCCTTCCTCCTCCCTTCCTCCTCCCTTCCTCCTCCCTTCCTCCTCCGCTTCCTCCTCCGCTTCCTCCTCCCTTCCTCCTCCACTTCCTCCTCCCTTCCTCCTCCCTTCCTCCTCCCTTCCTCCTCCGCTTCCTCCTCCGCTTCCTCCTCCCTTCCTCCTCCCTTCCTCCTCCCTTCCTCCTCCGCTTCCTCCTCCCTTCCTCCTCCCTTCCTCCTCCCTTCGTCCTCCCTTCCTCCTCCCTTCCTCCTCCCTTCCTCCGCTTCCTCCTCCCTTCCTCCTCCACTTCCTCCTCCCTTCCCTTCCTCCCTCCCTTCCTCCTCCACTTCCTCCTCCCTTCCTCCTCCCTTCCTCCTCCCTTCCTCCTCCACTTCCTCCTCCCTTCCTCCTCCCTTCCTCCTCCACTTCCTCCTCCCTTCCTCCTCTGCTTCCTCCTCCCTTCCTCCTCCCGCTTCCTCCTCCCTTCCTCCTCCCTTCCTCCTCCCTTCCTCCTCCCTTCCTCCTCCGCTTCCTCCTCCGCTTCCTCCTCCCTTCCTCCTCCTCGCTTCCTCCTCCCTTCCTCCTCCCTTCCTCCTCCCTTCGTCCTCCCTTCCTCCTCCCTTCCTCCTCCCTTCCTCCGCTTCCTCCTCCCTTCCTCCTCCCTTCCTCCTCCCTTCCTCCTCCCTTCCTCCTCCCTTCCTCCTCCACTTCCTCCTCCCTTCCTCCTCCCTTCCTCCTCCACTTCCTCCTCCCTTCCTCCTCCCCTTCCTCCTCCCCTTCCTCCTCCACTTCCTCCTCCCTTCCTCCTCCCTTCCTCCTCCACTTCCTCCTCCCTTCCTCCTCTGCTTCCTCCTCCCTTCCTCCTCCCGCTTCCTCCTCCCTTCCTCCTCCCTTCCTCCTCCCTTCCTCCTCCACTTCCTCCTCCCTTCCTCCTCCTATCCTCCTCCCTTCCTCCTCCCTTCCTCCTCCACTTCCTCCTCCCTTCCTCCGCTTCCTCCTCCCTTCCTCCTCCCTTCCTCCTCCCTTCCTCCTCCCTTCCTCCTCCCTTCCTCCTCCACTTCCTCCTCCCTTCCTCCTCCCTTCCTCCTCCACTTCCTCCTCCCTTCCTCCTCCCTTCCTCCTCCCTTCCTCCTCCCTTCCTCCTCCACTTCCTCCTCCACTTCCTCCTCCCTTCCTCCTCCCTTCCTCCTCCCTTCCTCCTCCGCTTCCTCCTCCTTTACTCCTCCCTTCCTCCTCCGCTTCCTCCTCCCTTCCTCCTCCACTTCCCTCCTCCCTTCCTCCTCCCTTCCTCCTCCCTTCCTCCTCCACTTCCTCCTCCCTTCCTCCTCCCTTCCTCCTCCACTTCCTCCTCCCTTCCTCCTCTGCTTCCTCCTCCCTTCCTCCTCCGCTTCCTCCTCCCTTCCTCCTCCCCTTCCTCCTCCCTTCCTCCTCCACTTCCTCCTCCCTTTCCTCCTCCCTTCCTCCTCCCTTCCTCCTCCACTTCCTCCTCCCTTCCTCCGCTTCCCTCCTCCCTTCCTCCTCCCTTCCTCCTCCCTTCCTCCTCCACTTCCTCCTCCCTTCCTCCTCCCTTCCTCCTCCACTTCCTCCTCCCTTCCTCCTCCCTTCCTCCTCCCTTCCTCCTCCCTTCCTCCTCCACTTCCTCCTCCACTTCCTCCTCCCTTCCTCCTCCCTTCCTCCTCCCTTCCTCCTCCTCCTTCCTCCTCCGCTTCCTCCTCCTTTACTCCTCCCTTCCTCCTCCCTTCCTCCTCCCTTCCTCCTCCCTTCCTCCTCCCTTCCTCCTCCCTTCCTCCTCCACTTCCTCCTCCCTTCCTCCTCCCTTCCTCCTCCACTTCCTCCTCCCTTCCTCCTCCCTTCCTCCTCCCTTCCTCCTCCCTTCCTCCTCCACTTCCTCCTCCACTTCCTCCTCCCTTCCTCCTCCCTTCCTCCTCCCTTCCTCCTCCGCTTCCTCCTCCTTTACTCCTCCCTTCCTCCTCCCTTCCTCCTCCCTTCCTCCTCCCTTCCTCCTCCACTTCCTCCTCCCTTCCTCCTCCCTTCCTCCTCCGCTTCCTCCTCCCTTCCTCCTCCCTTCCTCCTCCCTTCCTCCTCCCTTCCTCCTCCCTTCCTCCTCCACTTCCTCCTCCCTTCCTCCTCCCTTCCTCTTCCACTTCCTCCTCCCTTCCTCCTCCCTTCCTCCTCCCTTCCTCCTCCACTTCCTCCTTCACTTCCTCCTCCCTTCCTCCTCCCTTCCTCCTCCCTTCCTCCTCCCTTCCTCCTCCGCTTCCTCCTCCTTCACTCCTCCCTTCCTCCTCCCTTCCTCCTCCCTTCCTCCTCCCTTCCTCCTCCACTTCCTCCTCCCTTCCTCCTCCCTTCCTCCTCCGCTTCCTCCTCCCTTCCTCCTCCCTTCCTCCTCCCTTCCTCCTCGACTTCCTCCTCCCTTCCTCCTCCCTTCCTCCTCCACTTCCTCCTCCCTTCCTCCGCTTCCTCCTCCCTTCCTCCTCCCTTCCTCCTCCGCTTCCTCCTCCCTTCCTCCTCCCTTCCTCCTCCGCTTCCTCCTCCCTTCCTCCTCCCTTCCTCCTCCCTTCCTCCTCCACTTCCTCCTCCCTTCCTCCGCTTCCTCCTCCCTTCCTCCTCCCTTCCTCCTCCGCTTCCTCCTCCCTTCCTCCTCCCTTCCTCCTCCCTTCCTCCTCGACTTCCTCCTCCCTTCCTCCTCCCTTCCTCCTCCACTTCCTCCTCCCTTCCTCCGCTTCCTCCTCCCTTCCTCCTCCCTTCCTCCTCCGCTTCCTCCTCCCTTCCTCCTCCCTTCCTCCGCTTCCTCCTCCCTTCCTCCTCCACTTCCTCCTCCCTTCCTCCGCTTCCTCCTCCCTTCCTCCTCCCTTCCTCCTCCGCTTCCTCCTCCCTTCCTCCTCCCTTCCTCCTCCGCTTCCTCCTCCCTTCCTCCTCCCTTCCTCCTCCCTTCCTCCTCCACTTCCTCCTCCCTTCCTCCGCTTCCTCCTCCCTTCCTCCTCCCTTCCTCCTCCGCTTCCTCCTCCCTTCCTCCTCCCTTCCTCCTCCCTTCCTCCTCGACTTCCTCCTCCCTTCCTCCTCCCTTCCTCCTCCACTTCCTCCTCCCTTCCTCCGCTTCCTCCTCCCTTCCTCCTCCCTTCCTCCTCCGCTTCCTCCTCCCTTCCTCCTCCCTTCCTCCTCCCTTCCTCCTCCACTTCCTCCTCCCTTCCTCCTCCCTTCCTCTTCCACTTCCTCCTCCCTTCCTCCTCCCTTCCTCCTCCCTTCCTCCTCCACTTCCTCCTTCACTTCCTCCTCCCTTCCTCCTCCCTTCCTCCTCCCTTCCTCCTCCCTTCCTCCTCCGCTTCCTCCTCCTTCACTCCTCCCTTCCTCCTCCCTTCCTCCTCCCTTCCTCCTCCCTTCCTCCTCCACTTCCTCCTCCCTTCCTCCTCCCTTCCTCCTCCGCTTCCTCCTCCCTTCCTCCTCCCTTCCTCCTCCCTTCCTCCTCGACTTCCTCCTCCCCTTCCTCCTCCCTTCCTCCTCCACTTCCTCCTCCCTTCCTCCGCTTCCTCCTCCCTTCCTCCTCCCTTCCTCCTCCGCTTCCTCCTCCCTTCCTCCTCCGCTTCCTCCTCCCTTCCTCCTCCACTTCCTCCTCCCTTCCTCCGCTTCCTCCTCCACTTCCTCCTCCCTTCCTCCTCCCTTCCTCCTCCCTTCCTCCTCCCTTCCTCCTCCACTTCCTCCTCCACTTCCTCCTCCCTTCCTCCTCCCTTCCTCCTCCCTTCCTCCTCCGCTTCCTCCTCCTTCACTCCTCCCTTCCTCCTCCCTTCCTCCTCCCTTCCTCCTCCCTTCCTCCTCCACTTCCTCCTCCCTTCCTCCGCTTCCTCCTCCACTTCCTCCTCCCTTCCTCCTCCCTTCCTCCTCCCTTCCTCCTCCCTTCCTCCTCCACTTCCTCCTCCACTTCCTCCTCCCTTCCTCCTCCCTTCCTCCTCCCTTCCTCCTCCGCTTCCTCCTCCTTTACTCCTCCCTTCCTCCTCCCTTCCTCCTCCCTTCCTCCTCCCTTCCTCCTCCA